AAATTATAAATTATAATAATAAATAATAATAATAATTATAATTAGTATTAATTATAAATTATAATTATAATAATAAATAATTATAATAATTATAATTAATTATAAATTTGAAAAAAAATATTAATAATTATATAATATTATATATGCTTATAATAATAATATTATAAGAAATAATAATTAAAATTTGTAATGATAATTATAATTAAATATAATAATAATTATAAATTAATGTTAATTATAATTATTGAACTAAAAAATTATAATAACTATTATAAATTTTAACAATTATAATTATAATAATAATTAATAAAATTTATATATGAAAAGAAAAATGGATTATAATCTATTTTAATAGTTATTAGAATAATCATTACATTGGAAAAATCTAATAATTATATTTTTGATTCAGGGTGTCGGCAGACCTGGACAATCTAATGTCAGGGACGACGACGAGGCGTACGATGACTATTATGGTGGTTTTGGCACCCGACACACTAGAAGTCGGGGTGTCAATGCGTCCGTTCGTCGGGAGAGGGACACGGAAAGGCAGGCGTTGATCGATGAGGCTCGTAGGGTACAGCTTCGTCAGGCGAGCCAGAGTTCCCGCCCCCCCGCACCAATGCCCACTGGTCCATATCATTTTGAGGGCCAGCCAGGTAGTTCGCGACCCCACGGAGCCCTCCCGTACGGCGAACATGGATTTTATTATCCTGGCCAGGCGGGCAGGACGATGCCCCCGACACCAGGACCGTACGATCAGCCGGGATGTGCTTTTCCCCGCTACGCAGGGAAGTCGTTACCCCCCCGCGCACGCGTAACATTACCTTATGGTCAGCAGGGGTATGCTGATGATGAGTCGTATAGCGAGAGGGAGCCGGGTCCAGAGGACTATGACTCGGACGACTCTTCAGATGATCAGGACCACGCACAGCCTACGGGTCCTAACCACCCTCGTCCTACTGTACAGCCAGTTTGTCCGGTACAGCCGGTTCTACAGCATGTTCGTCCGGTACATGCTGTTCGTCCCACACAGCCTGCTCCTCGACGGCAGGCTGGGGGGCGTTTTGGCCCATCTGCATCCTCATCAGGTAAATAATTTACTTATTTATTGTTGTTTAACATAAATTATTTTCACTTAATCATAACAAATTATCGGTAGTGTTAGAAAAGTATTATCGGCCTGCTCGTCAACTACAGTATAATTATTTTGTAATTTAGGATAAGTTGAATAAATTGTAATTAATTATAAATTCAAAAATTAATATTAATAATTATAAATTATATATGCTTATAATAATAACGTAAAATGTAAAATGTAACGTAACTAATAAAATATGTTTTATTAAATATATTTTATTTAATGCATCTGCCAGCAAGTCAATATATACAGATATGTTGTATTTTAATGCAGGTACTAGCAAACGAGCTAGGACCGATGATGATGCGCCTTGGATCGTTAGAGGCCCAGTGCCCGGTGGGCCCATTGATGGGAGTGTCATCCCTAGCTTTCTTGGGCACGTCGCCTCCCGCATGTGGAGTGGGAATTTGAGGGGGCTACTGAAATGCCACAACAGAGTGCGAGCGATCGATAATCTGAAGGCTTGGCGTGAAGAGATGTCTTCCGATGCGGGAGCTCTTCTCGACCAGACCGGGCTGTCACATTTGGTCGACTCCATGCACACCCAGTTGGACACCCCACTCCTTTCTGCTTTTGTGGAGCGATGGCAGCCGGATACTAACTCATTTCACATGCCTTTTGGTGAGATGAGCATCATGCTGCACGACGTCCGGGCCATTTTGGGCGTTCCAGTGGAGGGAGTCGTGGTCGCTGAGGACCCGGATTCGGACGCCTGCCATGGGCTCTGCATGTCGATACTTTCGGTCACCAAGGGCGAACTCATGAGTTCGTTCTGGCAGCGTGGTTCGGTGTCCGAAGCCGCCATTTCGGGGGCATTCAGGGGGAAAGACCGGCCGGCTAGGGATGAGGCGGGTGCCTGGCTGTGGGTGATGCTGGCTACCACATTGTTCGTCGACAAGAGTGGTAGTAGAGTGACCCCCAAGCTCCTGCACGAAGTGCTCGACGGCTTGGATTTGATTGGGGGTTACTCATGGGGATCGGCTACGCTGGCATACATGTACAGACAGCTAGGTATTGCCAGCCGAGGGGACTCCGCCCAGATGTCGGGCTGCTTGACTCTTCTACAGTCTTGGATATATGAGTATTTCCCCGATTTCCGACCCCGAGGGCATCTACCCATCGGTCCTGACTGTCTCGCACGATCACGCTCGTGGGGCGTAGGGAATGCGCCACGGTCAGACGATCGGCTCACAGCCATCCGTCGGCGCCTCGACAGACTCACTGCCTCCGATGTACGTGAATTTATTTTATTTAAATTTAGTTACCCGTTATTTAAAATAACATAATTATTTTTATAAATTCTCTTATGCAATTGTGAACAGGTGCAATGGTTGCCATACGGCAGCTTCAGCCCAGATGCGATAGAGTCGAGGACTCTTTATAGCGGATGGATTCGATACCGCGATGTCGTCGAGCCGTACTTACCTGCGCGGTGTCTGCGTCAGCTGGGGTATGTCCAGACTGTCCCTCCCCCTATATTCCCGCCAATCAGTGCAGTACGTGCTTGGGAGTCTAGGAACTACAAGGTTGAGCATTCTGAGGCTGGTGCAGTATCCCTCTGGACCCAGTTCCCGATGTCTGGGACGGTCAACACAAGTATGTTGACCCACACCACACAGGATCGCGGGGAGGCGACTGAGGATTACCTGCAGTGGTACAGTCGGGTTTCCCATCCGACTCTCATGGGCGAGGAGCTGCCGGACGAGAACGAGGTCCCAACGCGTGTCAATACCGCCTATGTAAGTTGGTTACTAAATTTTAATTAATGTTAATTCATTACAATAATTTTTTTTTTTAATAAATTTTAGTCTTATCTTTTTATTCTTTCATTTTTTTAGTGGGTGGACCGTCTTTTGGGCATTACATCGACCTTGCAGCAGATTGTTCCAGACTGTCCGGTGGCGGCGGAAGTCGAAGAACAGCTGGCTAAGTTTAAGTTGGATTACGACAATGCCCAATAATAATGTAATGAATTTTTTTTTTTTTAATTATTATTGTAAAACATTAAGTTGAATGATTTTTTTTTTTTGCTAAACTTAAGTTGAACTGATTCATTTATTTATTTTTATTTGCTAAACTTAAGTTGAATGAGAAGCGTCATACCATAACTGAATAATATCGTTCTTTTATTCAAGAACGATTTGTTTGAACAGTATACCACAATTGCAACCTAGACTGGTACTGATGCTCCCAACCCACAACCGATTGATCTCGGTAACGGAACCACATGTTATGAATAGGCGGTAATGGACAATCATCAGTCAAATCTAAACGAATGTAGTGTTCTACGGTACCAAGATGGCAAATGGCAATCTCACGACATGGTCCTCTAGCCGATGATCGTGCAGTGAGAGGCAACACTGTGGTGCTGAATAAGTCGTGCTGCCCACCGTTTGGACCAGAGCTCAAATGAACGACAACCACATTAAATAGGGTCGCAACGGCATAGAGGTCCTGCGGAACTTCGAACCAGTGAGTCGGTCCACAAGAGCCTCTGGCCCACCTTATGCGACGGAGTCCGGCCTCGATATCTCTAAAATAGATGTACTCGTACAATTCAGGGTGGTTGTCGACCTCCTTCGCAATGTTTTCTCTTGCATCTGGCCAGTACTTCTGATGACCATACATGTGACTCGCGATGACCCGAAATCCGCAGTTACCATCCGCTTCCACATTCAGGTAACTCACTATGTAGTCCAACATATGCCAGGGGATACATTGCCAATATGAAAATCCAAAAATATTTGTCGGTCTAAACTCTGCAATAAATATCATAATAATTTCACGTCACAATTTATATAATCATATAAATACTTTAATTAACGCTCAGCCGTATTTAAAAAAAAAAAATGTATGACCTTCATCCCCTTGTGACTGTTGAGAAGACGAACTTGTCTGTCCACGCGAAGAATTGGTCGTACGGCTCGATTTCCGACCTCGCGATTTTTCGTTGTACTCAAAAGCAGATGGTTTACGCTTAGTTGAATTAGTTTTCTTGGGACGACCTCGCGGGTTATCCTTAACCTCAGGTTCCGCATAATCCTGTTGGTCTGGGTAAAGATGACTGTACATGAACTTATTCACGTACCGCATCGTCGCGGGATCGCGGGTTTCAACCTCAGTCACAAGCGTATGAAAGAATGCCGCATCTGACCATGCAGCGTTGCTCGCCTGGCTCGGATGACCAGTCACTACAAGTATACGATAAAAAAGTCAATGAATTAAAACAAATAATGTATTTTAATAGAAAATTATAAATAAAACATTAATCTTAAATTACCTGGCTCTAATATCTCGAGCGTTCTCCAGAACTGGTGAATCATTCTGAGATCAATCGAAACATCGAAATCGTCTGCGTTACGGAGGAGACAGGCACAAGGAAGTCCATGAGTGAGCTGCAATACACAACCGCAGCTAGTGTAAACATCGGTGTCCAACTTGTGCATCCTCGTAAGCTCAGCGTCCAATAAACTCAGACAGTAATGCGAGACCCTCAGTATCACGCTCGCGAAACGGATTCCCTTTTACCTTGTATTCTTCTTAGATCTCGAGGCCTCAAGCGCCGTCCTGATAATACTTTACATAACGTTAGATTATAATTAATTAATGCAGTAATATAATAACGCATTTAAAAATTGCAGTACGTACTTGATTTCAGTCACTTGATTATCGATATGCTTATTAATCTTCTGCCAAACCATATCGAGCGCGCCGGTGGACGTCTGAAGCCACTCCTTCAACGCAGAGTGGGCACTCTCCACCCTACAGGAAGTTGTGTTTCCAAAATGTGTCACTCGGTTGGTCCAAGCCTTCACAAACTTCTCGCGGTGCACTAACCATGTGCCCTCCACATACCGTATCACCTCTGCATTGTTCGAATATTTTGCGCGCAGCTCGGCAACAGCATCGTTGTAGGCATCGAACGTACTGGCCTCTGCAATCGCCTTCCACGTACTGTGCGTGAAAATCTCCGAGAATTTTTTATTCTTCCCAAATAGGTGGTAGGTTCTGGCTTCCACATCTTTGTTGATGTGCCACGTGCAGAGTAAGTGGGCTGATTCAGGAAAATGCCTCTGAATAGGAGTGAGTAGACCCAACTCTCTGTCACTGACAACAACATGAGGATATACGCTTTGGCCTATCAGTAGTCTCAATTTCTCTAGAACCCAGTCCTAACTGGTCTCTTTCTCGTCCCTGATGAGGGCATACCAATTAGGAAGTTCTGGTTGCACGGCGTCATCCCAATCATCTCGACCAACGGCATCTTGTACCTGTGCAAATGTGACCAAGAAGACAAAAAATATAAGCACATAAATATATGCGTCAACACTTTTAAGATTCATACTAATAAAGTATTTACAAGTAACATACCTGTTGGTTTTATACGTGGAATCTATACCGACATACCAGTGATATGTCCGGAATTGATTGATCGACGCAGGATGGACCATGAATATATGCGTCAACACTTTCGTGTTCGGATCGAATTCTACATAAACTGTATACTCGCTGCTCACGGCCAAATGCATAAGCTGAGTAGGAACGTCTCTACCGTCGGAACCCTCTCTCCGCAGCTTATCTCTAAAGTTATATACCTGTCACCGATTAGCGTTAATTATAATGATTATTATAATTTAAAACAAAAATTTTATTATATTAATAAATAAAAAAGTATATTAATGCGATTAATTTGATAAAAAAATTATTAACTATCACAATAATAATACATTAGTAAATATAATAAAGTTTATTAATTATTACAATAACTTTTACATATAAAAAATTACTAATTATTATAATTAACTTAAAAAATTTAATTAAAACATATATTACAAGATATAAATATATATACCTGGCGCACATGAACGTTGTCTCCCGGATTCTTTTCCTTCAGCGCGGCCATAATTTTTTTCGGGGCCACCTGAGCGTCCGTCATGTCACGAACAATTCTCTTAGATGAAGCGCTGAGACCGCTCAACTGGCTATGACCCTCAGGATACACAGCAAATGCATGGTTATGGTAGCCTTTCTCTTCATTGCTACATCTACAGATCCTCCAGTATGGAACGCCGGACACCTTTTTTACTTTGATCTCAAAATTGCAGCCGCACTTATTCGTTTTTGTCCTTCTAGAATTTTCGCCTGTGCCTCTGTACCGTTCGCCTCTATGGCACTTCAAAAGTCTGACCGTTTTCTTTTTGTGGCTCGAAATAATTAATAGGAAACCATTCAGCATTGTCTGGTGTTTTGTAGCTTCAATAGCCCCCTGAGCACTATTATAGAATGAAGATGTATCGAAACGCAGACTGTAATCAACACCATCTCCTCCAAAATCTTCCCATGACTCCTGCTATATAGTACAATATTTTTATTTTTAGAACATGTTAAATTAAGATAATTAATTCTACGATGTAACATAATAATTTGTAACTCGTAACATGATATTATCTAACGTTCAATTAATATAATTTGTAACTCCTAACACGATCACGATAATATCTAACGTCCAATTTATATTATAATAAACATGTAACACAATAACTTGTAACTCTTAACACGATACTATCTAACGTCAATTTATAACATAACTAAAACTAATATATAATGTAATAGTTTCTAACTCGTAACACGATAATATCTAAACGTCCAATTTATATTATAATCAACATGTAACATAATAATTTGTAACTCCTAACACGATAAACGTCCAATTTATATCATAATCAAGTCTAAAAAGTAACATAATAATTTAAAACATAATAATATAGCCCAATTTATAACATAATTATTTCGAATAATAACATAAAAAAAAAAAAAAAAAAAAAATCGGCCGACCGGCCGGCCGAACCGGACGGACCGGTTCCGACCGGCCGTCGTTTCCGGATGGCTTTCTTGCCGTCCGGCCGGCCGGTTCGGACACGGCCGGTCTGACCGGCCATGCTTTCCGGACGGTCTTTAAGCCGTCCGGCCGCCTGTTCCGGACGGGCTATAAGCTGTCCGGAACCGGCGGCCGGACACGTATTTTTTCGTACCTCCGAATTTGACGACATTTCACCGTACACTTTCCTCTGAGATGTTTAGAAAAAATGAGAAGGGCAAAATTGTCCAAGGAGGGCGGTGAATAGTAACGCCCAAAGAAATCCATGTACGGACACTGTGAGCCACACGAAACAAGAATGGAGACAATTACCAAAGGATTTTCTTCTATGTATTTTCTTTTGTTTTCTTTTTTAAATTTATCTTTAGTTTATTCATTGATTATTATAGATTTATTATATGTTTATGTTATTAGATCTCGTGACGTGATTTTTTCAATATATTAAATATATACTATTAATAAATATCAACTAAATATTTAATTTTTTAAGAAACACATAATTAAATCAAACATCCGAAAACTTTTTCTCTAAAAGAATAAATCATATTATAAAGTACAAATAAAACTGTGAATAACATAGCACAAACACAGTTACACAAAGACATATTACATACCTGAAAATTGAAACAAACACAAACTGAAAGTCATAATATCTCAGTTATACAAGTTTACATTGATGTTGTTGCAAAAGTTGTTGACATTGGCACGGAACACGGCTTCTGCAACCCGCTTAAAGATTCACAGCTATGCAGAGCCCCCTCCCCGATGGTCACATGTATGACGAAAGAGAGGATAGAGCCAATTGTTGCACTACGGCTGATTGCGGTGTGAATCATCATCATTGCTCGAAGCTGATCGATGAATCGATTGACTTGAGTTTGGGTTTCGTATTGATATTTGGATTTGAAACCCTAGCAGTGATGTGGGGGTTGCTGGTCCACCGAAAGACGTTAGAAATAGTCGATTTAGCCGATTGCGTGTTTGTCGACCTTTCATCGTCGGCATTCGCTATGTTGCGGTGGTCGACGGCTTCGTGCGGCGATCGCGGGGCTCACGTACGGTGGTCGATCTCAGGGTCTCGGTACCTCAGGATCTTCTATTGTTTTACTCAACACCTCTTCGTATGCCTCGGTGGATCAACAAAATGAAGATAAACCTCGACTATGGGAACTAGAGAGGGGGCGACCGTGTTGGGATCTATGAGGATCTTGTTTTGTACAAGTCACGAATTCAATACCAAACGTAAACCTATGCGCAGCAGATCTAAAGGTTTGACATAGAAAACTTACGGCTTAAAAGTTTCTGAATCTGACAAATTCAGATTGACCGGGAGAAGCAGTCGGAGTCGCCGGGATCGAGCGGGCGGTGGCGGGATCGCGGCGTCATGCTTATTGGTATATATGAGGATCTCGTTATGTACAAGTTAGGAATTCAATAGCAAATATATATAAACCTATGCGCAGCGGATCTAAAAGTTTGACGTTGAGAACTTACGGCTTAAAATTTTCTGAATCTGATAGATTCGGGATGACCGGGAACAACACAAGAACGAAACTGGATCACACGAACGGGACATCGGGAATCGGCCATGTCGCGTGCGGATGGCCGGTCGTGTCGCACTGGCCGAATCATTGCGAGCTCGCGTGGCAGGTCCCGGTCGTGTCTCCGATCGGCGGCAGGTGCTCCGGCTGGTCGGGGTTAGTCCTCGGGCTCCAGGTCGTGGATTGTCGACTTCTGTAGATGATCACCGGGTCTCAATTACCTTTGAATCTTCTATTGTATTACTCATACACCTCTTCAACTTGTACCGGTGGAGCAACAAGAAGAAGATAAAGCTCGAATGAGAACTGAGAGAGAGAGAGAGAGAGAGAGAGAGAGGCGTCGTGTATTTCACACGAGTCTAATAAATTTGTTCTCTTCTCATGAGCTTAATGATGTATATATAGAGCTACAGTAGGGATCCTTAGGAGATTAGGTATAGGGCTTCTTAAGTAATGGACTAATTGTAGGCCAGACCCACTCTTCCAAATACTTAAATGATATTATGAGTCACTAACATAATATTATTGCACTCCCTTTTCCTAGCCGAAATTACATTTGAGACTCCACTTATAATTACCCGATTTACCTCCTCATGTTAAGATATAATGTCCATTAATTAATTCGATTACTGACATCAAGAATTATTTACTTTATTATTTATTTCACCGAAGCAAGCCCTCGTTCATCACATTATTATTATGTCGGAGCTTAATCCACCTGCAGGGTTTAGCATAACAATTCTTCATGAACGCACTTTGGGGACATCATCAAACTACGCACATGGTGACCGTAAATATCCTAACAGCACATCATACATACAACAACATTACCCAAGACAGTAGGAATATTAATCCAGCGACTGAACTTCACCCAAGTGAATCAAAGTAATATGTACTGCATATATATGCCTGTTTAATATCTTACGGACTAAGAGAACGCAGTAATTAATCGAGGCTTAGTTCGTTTACGACGATCAGTATAAAACGAACTTCTCCTCTCTGGGATCATGTTCAATACATAAATGTACTAGTGCAACTAATCAATCAAGACCATCTGTATCGTTGACACTACAACCGTTCGGATGGGGTGTTCCTTTCCATCTATGTTGTGAACCACAATTCTTGTTTCGCAAGTAACTGATTAAATGATCTTCTGTTCGCCCGATGACGACCCATCTATCTAAGTGCAAAACAACAGAACATAGAACTTGTTTAATCTAACATGATTCTCATTCATAAAGGGTAAAAGTGTAATATCATCCAAAGGCAAGCTTTCAGTATATAACACTAACAATCTCCCACTTATACTTAAAGCTTTCGCTTTTACAAGTATAGTCCTATCAATCCGTTATTCTAAAAGACCTATGTCGATCCTATCATCATGCACCTGACTCACATTCCTTCCGCGTGTTTGACGAAGGCCTTTCCGGGCAAACTCTTCGTGAAAGGATCAACTAATTTGTCCTCTGATGCAACCTTGGCAACATCAACGTCTCCTCTACCAATGATATCTCTTATCATATGGTACTTGCGCTCTATGTGTTTGCTTGCTCTGTGGGCTCGTGGTTCCCTTGAGTTTGCCAATGCTCCACTGTTATCACACTACACGGTGATACAACGTGGAAAACTCAGAATCACCTCTAAGTCCACTAAGAAGTTTCTGAGCCAAACTGCTTCTTTCGCTGCCTTTGAGGCTACTATGTCCTCGGCTTCCACGGTGGAGTCTACCATGCATTTCTGCTTAGCAATCCTCCATGAAATGGCTCCACTTCCCAAGGTAAACACATATCCTGAGGTTGACTTACTCTCATCTCTATCTGATTGGAAATCAAAATCACTGTAACCCAACGGTAACCAACTGTCTGCACGGTAAACTAACATGTACTTCTTAGTCCTCTTAAGGTACTTGAGTATATGCTTCACCACAGACCAATGTTTCGGTACCGGATTACCTTGATATCTAGCTACCATGCCAACGGCGTAGTTAATATCGTGTCTCATACACAGCATAGCATACATAAGACTTCCTACTGCCGAAGCATAAAGAACTGTTTTCATGTCTTCTTTCTCTTGAGATGGCGACATCTCCTTGGATAGACTTATTCCATGTCTGAAAGGTAACATACCCTTCTTGGAATCCTGCATACTGAATCTGGCCAAGACAGTATCTATGTATGCATACTGGAATAAGCACAACATTCTCTTCTTACGGTCTCAAATGACCCTAATACCAAGAATGTGTCCTACTTCACCTAAGTCTTTCATATCAAACTACTTAGCCGACCACATCTTTACGTCTGATAACTCCTTCTTACTATTTCCAGTGAAAAGTATGTCATCTACGTAAAGAATAAGAAACACCACCACGCTGCCACTGATTTTCTTGTACACACAGTCGGACATTGAGTGAACCCGTACGACTGGATCACCTCATCAAAACGGATGTTCCAAGATCTCGAAGCTTGCTTCAGTCCGTAAATAGACTGATTAAACTTACATACTAGATGCTTACGTCCCTTAGCAATGAATCCCTCTGGTTGTGACATATAGATGTCCTCTTGAAGGTTACCATTAAGGAAAGTCGTCTTGACATCCATCTACCAAACCTCATAATCCATATGAGCGGCTACAGCCAAGAGAATCCGAATGGACTTAAGCTAGGTCCGTCATCGAGCAGGCGCGCGAGGCCAGCGGTAACACTAGGTAGCGCCAGGATGCGTCGAGTAGTGGAGCACCCACGGGCAACCTGCAGCATTTTCACCCAGGAGATCGGTGCCAACCGCGGTCAGGCCCTGCCAACGCCTAGCTCACCGAGCCCGCACTGAACCACGTGCCTGAGCCGTTTTGAACCCTGAGCACCTTTTTCAGTTTTGAAAATATATTTCCGAGCCATGGACGTGATTTTAAGCTGGACCATAATTAACTCTGAAACCCTTTTTCCGAGTCTTAAAATGCCTTTAGCAGAGAGTTCCAAATTTAAGAAATTTTTTCTATGTCAATAAACTTAAGATAAGAAATTCTTCAAATTGGTAAATTAATTTTACCAAGTTGAGTAAGATATTGATCCGAGTCGTGCTTCTAAAATGTGAAATCCGAGGAGTCGAGCCCTCGAGTATCCTATTGAAGCATCCACTCATCATCTTTATCCGTGTAACAGGTGGGGAAGTCTATGCCATGTTTTATTTCTTATAATTATTATGATTATTATGATAGTTGGATGTTTCATGAATGTCCGCCTGCGAGACGACGATGAATTATTACGCCCATGAGACGATGATAAACTATATATTATGTTTTGCTTATGAGACGACGATGAATTATTATGTTTACGCCTATGAGACGGCGTTATTATCGGTTTATTTATGTTACATGCTACATCATGGTATCCGCTAATTATATTGAATAACAACATAATATAGGCTCAATGGGTGCTAGTTGTTTTGCTCACCCCCCACAATTATCATGTTTAGGTTGAGCAGCTGGCTATGGACACGGGAGGGCAGTGGTGATCTTTTTATGTTTATTTTATGTTTTCCACAAAACATTTACAAACTCTTGTTTTTACCTTGCTTTGTGAATGATTTGAGTTTGTGCCTATGAAACAATGCTTTTCAATTTAAGACTGAGTACTTTGAATGTTCTACATATCTTAAATTGTTTCAGAAAGAATATGAGATTTGGGATGTGATTTCCCTAAGGAACCGAGTGTGAGAATTTCATTAAGAAAAGAAAGAAAGAAAGAAAGAAGGAAGTTTTTAGAAAGTTTAAGAAGAAAGTTTTTAGTAGTACCCAAGAAAATGTTTTATTTTGAAAAAGTTCAAATTATTTTCGAAAATCTTGGCTTTTTCCGAAGATAAGTAAGTGGGCGATACACTATATGTCTACATATACAGTATTCATACCTACCATGTGGACAATCTGAGCCGTTAGTGTAACGCCCCACTTTTATTTGCCGAAAATCAGAATAAATTTTTTAATTTTTTTTTAAACACCTGAGGCGCTACTCATTTTTAAAACAAACTTCCATACTTAACCAATTTCTCAATACTCTATCAATCATCAAACTCAATCATCAATCATCAACAATATCACTAACTCCCAAAATGGGTTTTCCAACAATTCATAGATCATCACCCAAACCGGGTTCCAACAATATTCGTAAATTCTAAGGAGCATCTCCTTAACTTTATTCAGTCATAAAATACAAAAATCTTAAATGCAATAATACTCCAAGTTCATAATCTTAAAAACCAGTTTCAATAATGCAGAAGCATAACAAATAATAGGACCGGTCTTATAGACCGACCACCACTCGCTCTACTCCGCCATCGTACCTGCCTCGCTTAACCTAAAACGTGAATTTCAGGTGGGGATGAGCACAGTTGGAAAAAGTAGTGCTCAACACTATGCAGTAAACATTATTCAACATATAATGACAATATTCATAACAACACAGGTATGGTCGCAGCATGTATACGAAACAATCAATTATCTCAATCTCCTATCAATCATATAAATAATAGACTCATGTGCACACCTATACCAATAGACTACTGCTGGTAGACGTATCAAATGCCCCTCGGGCTTCTATCGAATCGTATGCCTGCTTAGGCCTTACGTATTATTTGCCTGCTTAGGCCTTATGACACTACGTCTATGCCCTCCGGTCTTACACATCGAATGCCCCACGGGCTTCTATCGATGCCCAGTCAGTAGGAGTAACCCGCCGGCCAAGGCCTCACCTTGGTCTTACCAACGGGGTTGTCCAGCACAGGGACCTTTAACCCTGGTCTTACGGCTAAAAAAAGAGACTACCCTACGGGTACGTTCTATAGCTACGGGGATAACCGTTCGACGGCCGGTACAGCTCACATCGAAGGCTACATGGTTCACATGCATACATTGATCATACCATAATTAAATCAGTAATAACATTTACAGCATAGCCAATTTAAGAATAACAACCCACCTAGTAATCCGGTAGAAAAGTCACACAAACAAGTCGGTAGGTTGAGGGCTCGACTCCTCAAACACCTACATTAAGTCCAGATGCTATAATCAACATCTATTTGACTTAAACGGAAATCACAATTATATTTAGCCGAACTTGATTCAACTAAGTTGTTCGTGAAGTCCTGTGGAGGTTGGAACACTTAGACTCGACACCAAGACTCAACCAAATACTCATGGGAGTTCACATAATCCCAAACAAATATTGACCAAGTCAAACACTCAAGGAAACGAAAGACGAGTCGATTTACAGTTTTTATTGCAAAAGCCATATAATTGAAAATACTAGATTTTAGACACAAAATAAGTTGATCAGGTTATCATATGAATTTAACTCTGAAAATTTAATCAAAATTTCATCTCCCAGAGTTAAGCAAAACCACCAATTTTCAGTCCCAAATTCAAAGCATGCTATTTTATAAAATTCGAACAAGTTTATGGCAAATACGAGCATAAATTAGCAACCAGATCAAATGAATGAATTAACCTGTGAAATTTTTATCTAAGGAACCCCAGCATGTACATAGCAATATGTAAACATATCAGCCTTAAACTCCTAACATGCGATTTATTAAAATTACTACACATTAGCTGTTTTCGAATTTTCAACATAACTGAACTTATATGAACTCCAAAAATTGTAATATTTTAACAGCATGAAATAAACCATAAAACATGCACTTCAACCAAAAATCATAATTTTCCAGCAACAGATCAATTTTTCACAATTAAAACAATTTCTGGCAGAAATACAAAATAATTTATTTACCTAAGCTATCAGAGTCCAAAAATTATGAAAATTTAAAACGACATCTAAAACAGACAAGAGAACAACATATTCGAATATCAGCAAATGTCAAGCACTACACAGTTTATTATGCAATTAATATGAAACTGACCAGAAATTATTTCAATTTATTAAAATAGCTACAAACCTCTTAAAATCATGAAAGTTTTATACCAGCTACATATTCAACGGAGACAATTACCCTCAAAATTTCAAGGCAAACGGACCAGCGAGCAATTTATTATGAATTTATTACGAAAACAACCATTATACAATTTCGACAATTATTCAACGACTCGATTCACGACGAAATCGTCCGAAGTCTTCGCCATAAGACCAAGGACGGTATAATGTTCCAATCCATAGTGACTATATCACGAATCGACGAGGTCTCGTTCGATTTCACAGAATCGAAGAGTTCGTCTACATACATTCAACATGTATTTAAATCTTGCGAACACATAAACAACATGGGCACGTACACATGTATTTGTAAAATACATTCAACATCCAAGTAAACACACAACATAAACGAGAAGGGTCGAGCCTTGTACCGTTCTCGAGAAACGTGAGAATGGCTCGGCCCGAACCCTTGCCGAGTGATCGGACAATCAAAGAATACATTACTCAAAGATTACATACAGAAGATGGCATTAGCTATATTTGCACACAACATGGTTAAGGATTGAGTACTCTAGTTGGTTGTAAGTTGTATTTGTTGATACTGGGAAGAGGTTGTTGAATGTGTGTTGTTAGTTTTGAAAACTTGGTTGATTGAGTTTTGTGCTTGGTTGTAGGTTGTGTTTGTTGATATTGGGCATTCCAGTGAGGTTGTTGAATGTGCTTTAAAAATGAATGCATACTTCGTTGATTTAGTACTATGGTTTGGTTGGTAAATTCGATTTCGGGAAGTTGATTGTATTCGATATTATAAACCTGCAAGAAACATGTTTGTTGAACAAGAAACAGGTTTCTTGTTCAAGAAAAAGGTTTTTTTTTGTTCAGGAAACTAGTTTTCTTGTTCAAGAAACCTGTTTTCTTGTACTGTTTCTTATTCAAGAAACTGTTTGTGACGTGGGGGAGCACTGGGTGGTATGCCGTGTCCTCTTATCTCAATGGGTGATCCATGTGTACAACTTGTTGGCCCACAATTCGGAGGACAATCTTGGTCGAGCGCAGACATCGCCAATTTTGTACACATTCCCATCCCAAAGCCGTTGTGAACAATTCGCAATTTACTAACGTTCATCTGGAAAAAAAAAAAAGAAAAAGAAAAAACTTAATACAAATGTTTTCTTCGACTTATTTTTCCTTGAAATGTGTTTCTGAACAAAAATATATGAATACAAAACACAGTTTCTTGAGCTGAAATTGTTTCATGTTCAAGAAACAGTTTGTTGTTCCAGTTTCTTGAGCTGAAACTGTTTCTTGTTTAAGAAACTATTTTTGTTCAAGAAATTGTTTCTGTTTCAAGAAACGATTTCGTGAGCTCCTAAAACTCCAAAAAATGGCTAAAGAAACAGTACAACAAAAGTCATGAACTCCAAAACAGAGCCCATTTTTTGAAGCAAAAAAACTCTATTTTCTTGAACCCCCAAAAAATATGAGTTCAACAAAAAAAAATTGGCTCTAGACAAATCAATAATTTTGGGAGCTCATTTTTGGAACAAAAATAATAAATGTTTTCAAAAAATTATTTATTTAACATATTTTTTTTTTAAAAAAAAAAATAGGTTTGCAAATATTTGGATATGAATTTGCAAAAAGTTTATGTACATTTTTTCTTTTCAAAGGGATTCACTTGGTGGTGCTGGAGATAATTTTTGGAAAGATGTCAATTTTTAGGAGTGAATTTCGGAAAGATGAGTAATTTTATTTATTTATTTATTTATAGCAATGGTGGCTAGCATGTGGAGATGGATGAGGAATGGGGCAACGGAGATGAATGGGGACCGATGGAGTGATGAAGTGAGAATCTTTTTCATTTTTTCATTTTTTTTTTTTGTAGCTAAAACATTAGTAAGGGTAACATTGTCTATTTACCCCATAAAATGGCCATATTCTTTCCACAAAGATGGCTAGTTTTCATTTTTTTCTTCAAATAAGGGCTATAAAACCGAGCCTCTGTGTATAGAATAGGGCTGAGCACGAGTCTTGGAAATTACCGAACCGTACCGAAAACCGAACTAAACTTACCGCGAACCGAAAAATATCCATTGACCATTTGACTATCTCCGAACCGAACCGTACCGAAATTTTTTTTGGTCCGGTTCTGGAGATTCATAAAATATCCGTACCGAGAACCGGACCGAACCGAAAATAACCATACCGAACCGAGGAACCGAACAAGAACCGATTCCAATTCATAAAATCCATATATATATATTTATATTTTATCATATGTACTTTTTTCATCTTTGTACATAATTGTATTCAAATAAAATCTATTATAATTCATATGTATTGTACATAATTAAAAAGAAAAATAAATTAATATATTCTTTCTATTACAAAATTTGATACATGTCAAATATTTTATTAAGAAATCATTAAATACAACTTAATATAATTTGAATTCTGAATGTTTGGGAAACCGACCTTTATAAAGTAAGTCTTTCACAAAACTTGTAGAAAAGTTATTTATTTAAAGGTGATATATTCTAAAATAAAAATAAATTAAAATATATCTTTACCATAATATTAGATTAAGAACGGATATATCGATTATTTTATTAGTAAATTAAATATCTTCACTTTTTGAAAACAAACTTGACATGTACTATATCCGAATCTCACGATATCGGCCGGAAGAGATTAATTTATTTGGACATAATATATTTCCAAAATATGCTTTTATTTCACAAGTAACTATCTTTAAATTGACCATTGTTGTTCATATATGTCTTATCACTTGTGGATTTTGGCATATAAACGTTTAGCATATAAATCTTTCAAATTAAATTATGATATTTTGCAACTAAAAGATAATTATCACTTTTTTGGTAAAATAAAAAAAAGTTAACCACCTATTCTAACTATTAATTGACGAAATATCTATTGAAATTAAGAGAGGTTTATGATTTTTTTATCCATGATATGTACCATCTAACATGCAATTTGGAGATTTTTATTAACAAAAAATAATAAAAAAAATAAAAAATAAAAAAAATAAAAAAATTTAAAAAATCTCTGAAATCTCTGAAATCTCCGATCCGTACCAAACCGACCCATTAGAACCGAATCTCGGAACCGAACCGAACCGAACCGAAATTTGGTTCGGTTCGGTTCGGAGATTTGTTAGAACCGGTTCGGTTCCGAAGATTTCTAGATCTCCGAACCGAACCGACCCGTGCTCAGCCCTAGTATAGAACTCAATAAACAAGAGTACAAGGGTAGTCAAACGACTAAAATCAACTTGGTAATACAACAATAGTCCCAAGAGGCTCGAGAAAGGCTACTAACCTAACCCTATACAGGAAAAGAATAGGAGCCCAACACAACAAAGTTCAGAAACTAAAAAGAACTAACAAAGGAAACATTAAAATCAGACATTGTACCACCCAACTCAAAACACCGGATCTTTAATTACCATGTGGATCTCTCCCTTGTATCCGCACAAATTACTTATCATCTGTCGCGTCGTGTAGAGAGTTTGTGCCGCAGAAAACCCAAATCATATCCAGCTAACCCCCATGGATCAATTCATCATTGAGCCTCAACAACCAATTTTTATTAACACAACAAAAATAATTAACTAATCATAACAAACAGTATCATCTCAATTAATATACCAAGGGTACACAATTATTTATTTATAAAGCAAACAAAATAATCCCCCTTCCGCCGTTCAGTGCTCGGAAAGAGTCTCTGGGGAAACCCTAGGCACCACCCTGCAGACGAGGTCGTTAGCCCGTGGAGCTGTCAATCCGAGGCGCTCGGTCATGTCGACTTTCCCGCACCCCTCGGGCAACCTCCAGTCAAAGCACTGCACCATTGTCCCAATAATAACGATGAGCTCCTGTATGGCGAGCAGCATCCCCGGGCAGCCCCTCCTGCCCGTCCCGAAAGGCAGGAGCTCAAAGTGCTGCCCCTTGATGTCTATGGAGCTCCCGATAAACCTCTCGGGCCGGAACTGCATTGGGTCCTCCCAGTAGTTGGGGTTCCTCCCCATGGACCAGATGTTGACGAAAAGGAGGGAGTTGGCAGGGATGGAGTGCCCCCCCACCACAGAGTCAGAGACGGACTTCCTTGAAATCATTGGGATGGGTGGGTGGAGACGGAACATCTCCTTCACCACTGCTTGAAGGTAGGGCAGATTGGGCCAGTCCGACTCCTCAACCAGCCGGTCAAGGCCCACCACTTGGTCAATCTCGTTCTGGGCCTTCTTGAGCACATCAGGGTTGTTGATGAGCTCAGCTATGGCCCACTCAGTCGCAATGGCTGTTGTATCCGTACCCGCCGTGAAAAAATCCTTGGAATAAAATAAAATAGAATAAAATAAAAAACCAACCTAATCAGCTAACTCAATAATTACTAGTACCAAGTGGAGAGGCCAATAGGTAGTGCTGTTGTTAATGCACTTACACAAATAGAATGCAACATAAATGAATTCTAAACAAGGAGGCCTATCTTATTTAAGCTGCAAAACGTACATAGGTAATTGCTGCCAACCCTCTGTTATAGGTTGCTGCAATATAATTATTATCCATATTACGTCAGATGGTTTAATTAAAAGCTGGACAAGCCAATTTAAGCCCTCAAGTGCCGCCCCCATTAACATTTGACTAATTTCTTTTTGTACAACTCACCGCATTTGGGTTAACTTATAATACGCTAACCAATAAACTTGTATAATTAAATTCGTGTATGTACAAAGTAAATAATGTAGCCGCTGTATAAAATTTTGATAACTTATACAGTATCCGTTAATAGTTAATTTATTTATCCTCAAACAGTTAATCTCGTATTCTCACGTTTCAAAAACTAAACGCATAAAAAGAAAATGTGAATTAACCAACTAATCATAATCATAATAATAATAACAGTGATTACCAGAATCAAAGCCTTGAGATGTTCTCTGGTAAAGTTCACCTCCGCCTTGCCGCCTTCCATCACATCGAGGAACATATCCAAAAAATCCCTCGCCTCCTCTCCTCTGCCGTGGCTCCGCCGCTCCTCTTCCCTGTCACTAATAATCTTCTCCAGCAGGGCATCGTACCTCCTCTGAATATCCTCCGACCTCTTCCTAATCCCCTGCAGATCCAAATTCTTGAAGAACCAGATCAAATCTGCCACGTCAAACTCCCCGAAAATCTGCGTCACCTGTCGAATCACAGTCCGGGCGGCCTCCGCGTCCCCCTCTGTCCCGGAGCACCGAATGCTGAGCATCATGTGGGAGATGACGTTGCTGGCCAATTTGACGAGCTCCTCGGTGACATTGACAATTTCCCCTAATTCGGCCTTACCCATGAGGATTTGGAGAAAGGCGCGGACCTCCATAGTACGGACGGGCTGGAAGTGGCTCAGGTTGCGGGCGCCCAAGAGCTCGTAGGTGCAGAGCTTCTTGATGTATTTCCAGTAGGGCCCATAGGGGGAGAATGCAAAGGAGGACTCGTAAGTGACGACGTCGATGGCGGTGGAGTGCTTGCGGTTGGAGAACACGATCTCGTGGGTCTTGAGGAACTCGCGGGCGAGCTCCGGGGTGGAGGCCACGACGCAGAAGACGGAGCCCAGCCGGAGCTGGAACAGGGTGCCGTGCCGCCTGCCGAGCTCGTGGAAGGTCTGGTGCAGGTGGGGGCCCAGGAGGTGGAGATGGCCAATGATGGGGAGGGCCAGGGGGCCGGGAGGGAGAGGCGGCCCGCGGCGGCGTTTGCGAGCTAGGGTCGAGAGGAGGGCGACGGGGAGGAGGATTAGGACGACGGCGAGGGAGATCTGGACGGCGTCCATTTTTTTTTGTTTTTTTATTTTTTAAATATCTATTTATTATTTCTTTATTTATTTGTGGAGAAAAAAGGAGAATTTTTTGGGAGGTGACAAGACAGTTGGGAAGTACGTTTGGGGCGGGTGACGTCTTTAATTGGAGGTGTTTTGGTTTTAACTTCGTGGGGTTGTTTATATATAAATGATGAAATGGAGCGTTGCTTGTGAGTTGATATGAGTGTGTGAGAGTGTTTTGGTAGAATGAGTGAGTTGATGAGTGTGTGAGTGTTTGGTAGAAGGAACGGTGGAAAATGCTTGCTGTTTTATCCATTAGCGGCTGGCATATCATTTACTTGGGTTAAGTTGATGCTACCGGCATGGATAGTACCCACTAGGTGTGTGGCTGTAGCATTTTTGCTATATGTTATTTAATGTAATTTTTATTTATTTGTATTTTTATTAATTTCTTTTTCTTATTTTTCTTTACTTTTCATCATCATTTCATAATAAAATTTTGAACATATAGTTTCACTTAACATAGTATGTCTGATTACATCCATTTTTACTATTTGTATTTCCTAACTTATATCAAAATATATATTTTAGGATTCCATCCGGTAAGACTTGTCTGAGAAACCAAGACTTGGATGTTTCGTCTTGTTTAAAGCTTCGTATGGGCGTTCAGAACTTTCAACCTTGCCTGTGTACCCCATCCAGTAAGATCACCATATTGCCTCCCCATGGAGAGAAGTCCATTTAAACCTGCTTTCCCTTGATTCAGTTTCCTGACAGCCTCAATAGTACGTTTCAGTTCTTCCGAGTTCGCACTCAGCTTGTTTTGCATACTCGTATGTTCGTTCATGACTCGACTAACTTCATTTTTGAGCTTCAAGATTCCTGTTCCGCTCAGCCAGTAGTTTTGAAGTCGAGAATAGTTCAGACCTCAGGCATTCAATGGTATGAGTCTTCTCCAACCCATCTTGTTTAGAAAGTTTGACACTACTCTCAAGAATGGAAGTTCGAGCTTTTGCGGTATCTAACTCATTTTCTTTTTGATGAGTGAAATAGGAGGTGGCTTGTTCAGTCAAAAGTTTATTTGCCTTTGTCAGTTTATGCACCTCACTCTGAAGTTTCTTCATAGCTTCAGATGCTTGTGCACATTTCTCCATAGCCAACAAGTGAACCGAATCAATACACATGTTCCGATCGGCTTCATCCTCAGATGCTTCAGATTCTTCTATGCCTTCTTCGAACCTTGTTGTGGCATGCGAGGTGGTGAGACACATGAACTTCCTTACTGAGGAATGAAATGCCATATTACTCGTGTGTGATGAAAGTTCTTATGTGCCCTCGTCATCTGAATCTTCCCACGTTGCCTTAGTGACTTGTTCTTCTTTTAAAGATTTGCACACTCATACTGAAAATGACCAAAATTCTCGGCATTGGCCCTTCTCGACTCGTTGCGTGTCCGGTTTTGGAGGAGGCGTATTATTCTTCTTGTCTTGAAACGTGTTCTTGCTGAAATTATTGAACTTCTTGCCAGCAAACTTATTCTTATACAACTTCTGACTCATCTTGCCGTAATTTCTCGCAATCAGTGCAAGGGCTTCTTTCAGTTCGCTGTCGTCCACCATTGAACCTTCATCATCGTTGCTATCTTCTTTCTCAACCATTACCGCCGCTTTGAGACTGAGTCCCTTGTTCTTGACTTTGACATAGCCCTGAGATCACCAAGAAGTTCATCAACATCTAGGGGCGCAATTCATTGAAAGCCTTCAAGGGCCGTAATTTTTTCTCTGAATCTAGTCGCAACTGTTCGCATAATCTTTTGAACTTGATGATTTTCAGAGATTTCTTCTCCAAGCATCCCACTTTGATTCACCAGATCACAAAATCTGGCATAATACATAACAATCGTTTCTTCATCCCTCATTCTGATTTCATCAAATTCAAGCATTACGCGTTGAAGTCTGGATGCTTTGACTGTCGTTGAACCTTCAAACTGATGTTGCAAAATCAGCCAAGCATCTTTTGTTGTCTTGCATTGAACTATCATCTTATGTCGAGTCTGATCAACTGCCATCATGATCGCATATAGAGCTTGATAGTTCGCTTCTTCTTCAAGTTTTTCGGTGTCAGTCCAGATGTCTTTTGGTTCAGGCGCAGTTCCCGATGAAAATACTTTCCCTTGATCTGGAGCTGCTGGCGTGACTGGATGTTTTGAGCCATTTTCGACACTCTCCCAAGCACCTTTTCCAAGAGATCTCAGAAAAATCATCATAGATCTCCAGTAGGAGTTGTTTGAGCCATCCAATTGCGGAGGCCTAGACATCGATCCACTTTCTTGATTCATGATTGCCCAATCCACACGTCCTTAGACCTTTCGTAAAATGTACGAAAACCCGCTCTGGTGCCAATTGAAATTTGATACAGGTATTCAAAAATACCCAGAGTCGCATAAAACTAGTAGACAGAAACTAAAAAAGATTCTTGCAATTGCGGAAGCAGTAATACTTAAAATTAAACCTTCAGGAGAGTGTCTCACTCTTCCTTCAAATCTCTTTCATTAATGTGAACTTCACAAACATCATTCAAGGGTTTACAATGCAGACTCCCTCTACACTCTACTTGAACAATGATTCAGACAAGTACTTATCCGACCACAAATCCCTTGTGGTTTTTCTCTTTTGAATCCCTCAAACTGAAACAGAACGAACCTCCGTTCACTCTGTGTTTTTGCCTCACAATTAACTCCACACAATTAATCTATGAACTCAATAAAAATACAATTGTACTCGAAACCTTACAACTTAGAATTTTTGGTCTCCCAAAAAATAAAGAGGATCCAAAAAACGTGCCCATTTCGAAAGTATCGTCATCCTTTTTATCTTGAACACCATATGGTAAGTCCTCTTCAAAACTTCACTGCCAAGTCACATTCATATATGGTAAGTCCTTGGTTGATTTGATTCTTCTTTTGGAAGGTCCAAATCCGTTGTTGTAACTTCTTAAAAAAGGAAGGCACGTCTTGATTGATCCTACATAAATGGCATACGCATTAGTCAACTTTATTTGACCTATATGTAACTAATTAACCAAAGGAGTTTATAGTAAACTTCCCTTAATTTTTCCAAGGCTGTATGAACATGGTGACATATGAAGGTTCATCGATTATCTGCCAAACTTAAAAAAAATACTAGATTGATAACCACTAACAGCTTTATGTAGCTGCCTATCTTCCCCCCATTTTTGCAAACAATTACATTCTTCACTCCATTAAACACTCTATCAATCTTGATTCCCACCTTCGTACTCATCCAGTTCAGAGGGACATTATACACTTGTACCCATAATTTGAGTTCCTCGAAACATTCATGAGTACTAGATATCACTGGGATCCATTCTTTGAGAATAAGGTACTGGTTCTCAAATAGCCAGTTATGGTCCGAGGCCACTTTTCTCTTATCCTCTATCGAACTGAAAATAAATTGAAAAAAATTGATACTTAACTCCTTAACCTCGAAGGATTGCTGGATTTTCCAAATGGCCCCCATTGTTCTGTTAATCCCTAGAATCCCAGCTCTCCTATCTCCCACGATATTTTCGAACAGGCTTCTTCCACACTCCTCTTCACTGGCTTTAATGTCATCGCCTTTGAGCTGAATATCCCCTGCTTCTTTTTCTAATAATGAACATTTTTGAAGTGTTGGCATCACATTTGAGCACTGTTGGAAAATATAGTGCTCACCACTATGCATATGAACAATATATAATATGTTAGAATGGTATAGTCGCAGCATGTATAAACAATAACAACATGTTACATCTCCAATCAATACGACAATGACTCACTCATGTGCACATCTACGCTTAGCCGCGAAAAGGGGATGTATAAACCTTAACGACGAGAGTGCGTGCCACACAACGGACACGGACTTTCATTAGGACTTAAGGAGACTTGCCTCGCACAGGCAACCGTATTACATCGACGGGGAATACCGTACCGATGGCCGTAACAGCTCACATCGATAAGTTACATGCTCACATGCATACTGAAGTGAATAAGATTTCACCCGTGCTCCTTCAACTCGAACGGCCACCGGACCTGCAAGAACCCAACGCCGGGATTGGTCCCGGCGTCGGGCCTTCGACGCTCAAGTCAGTATCACTCCAAATCCCAAGAATATAATTATGAATGTAGAGAGAGTGAGAGAATGGGATACCTTAACACCCCTTTTATAGGGGGAGTGTACCTTATGGCCCAAGTTGGGCTTGTCCAATAGCATCATGCTGCGTGTCCTAGCCATGTGTAGGCTTATTCTTCAATATATTCCTTTTTTATCCATTAAAACTGGTCTAGTATATAATATCCTATATCATCTAGTCCCCCCACTCTGGTCGAGTAAGCATGACTCGATTCAAGAGTGAAATTCCTCTTCGGGCTATTTCCGTTAACCTACCACTGAGGTTATAATTTGAATAAATCATCGACCACCAAATAGTCATCAAACCTCCAAATGGGCATCGGGACCCCAAATGAACACCGAATGACCACTAAGGTCAGAAACCGAAAGACCCGCTGCCGAGGTCGAATACCAAAAGACCTGCCTCTGAGGTCGAATACCGAGAGACCCGCCACTGGGGTCGAATACTGAAAGACCTGCCTCTGAGGTCGAATATTGAGAGACCCGCCACTGGGGTCGAATACCGAAAGCTGAACATCTACTGGGGTCAAAAACCGAATGACCCACCATAGGGGTCGAACACCAAAAGCCGAACGACCACTTAGAACGAAAACAGAGAGACCTGCCACTGGGGTCGAACACCAAAAGCTGAATGACCACTGAGGTTGAAAACCGAATGACCCGCCACTGGGGTCGAACACCAAAAATCGAGAGATCGTTGAGGTTGAAAACAGAGAACCAAGAAACCACTGAGGTCGAAAACCTAGTGACCACTGAGGTCGAAAACCTAGTGACCACTGTGGTCGAACACTAAGTAATCTGAGGTCGAAAACTGAGTAACTGCTGATGAGGTCGAAAACCAAGTGACCGCCGATGAGGTCGAATATTGAGAATTGAATGACCACTGATGAGGTCAAAACCGAGAACCGAGTGACCATCGATGAGGTCGAAAACCAAAAACCGAAGTCTTGAATTTAAAAATTTGAACTTACGTCTTGTTGTTTTTCCATCACCATGTTCGAGCTCTCTTCATTCAAAGATAAACCTTTCCTACCACCTCGTCCTATCATCGGCCCCTCAGCTCAAAATTTGAAATTCAACCCTACTGTTTATCCTCTCGAAAACTGAAATACTGACACCAC